CAGACGTTCCTTTATTGTATAAGATTGTTTTGGCTATCCTGGGTTTTTTGTTTTTCCATATAAAGTTGATTATGTCTTCTCCAGATCTGTGAAGAATTTTGATGGGATTTTGATGGGGATTGCATTGAATCTATAGATTGCTTTTGGTAGAATTGGATCAGGCACTTTCTAAAAGGCATTGGCACAAGAGGAGAGTGGCCTAAATTGGAAACAAGGTCCTCCTGGTAATCCATGCACAGAGAACAGGTTGGAGTTAGCGGTTACAGTTACTGTTGTATATCTGGGGCCGAGAAAACTGCTATCGACCAAGTGGGAAATGTCCATGTCCAGAGGTAAGTGTGTAACACAGGCAGCAAGGTGGTGTAGATTTGGACAAAGGCAAAAATGTGGGGGCAGGTGGGGCAAGAGACAAGGCCATAAGGAGATATCATTTCCTGTGCATCCGATTCAGGGCAAAAATCAGAGATGACAGAGGAAAGAACACAAAAGCAGAGCCTGGTCCCAACTGTGGATGTCATAGATGAAGCTAACAGGCAGTTAGGATGGCCAGAAAGTGCCACCATATCTCTGGTAAAGCTTACCGGTCATGGCACAGGACTGAGCTTGTGGCTGCTTTGAGGCAAATGTGTCTGAGTCAATAAGTTCTTCTGGATGTTTATTCGATATGAAGTCAATTTTTTAAAGCTTCACTTTTAACTGGGGAAAAACGTAACAATTCTTAGGCTTATCACATGGCTGTGATTTTCTGAATGTATTTCCTGCTAATGCAAGATTAGAGGGGAACACATTTTTGTAAGAGTCAAAAATTAGCAGGATTCCAGTTTTCTTCTGCTCACAAGGGAATATACACTTTCCAAATCCGGGGAATAAAGGAGAGGCCCTGCCAGGGTTCTTTGCCAGTTCTGAGTCTGTTTTGGCTCCCAAGTAAACTTTGCTCTCCTTAAGCTGGCAGCCTTCAGTTCCAATCTTTTTCTGAGAAATGTACAGCATAGTTGGGGCTCTGTTGGGAACCGTTTCAGCCTCAGGAATGAATCATTAGCTAGAGTCAGCTTGAGATTCATGGACCCTAGAGGGGAGGGCTTCCTTCCTTGCCTCTAGATCTCCTTTATAGGCAGAGGAGGTGGTCAGTAAAAGTACAATTGAATGATTCACCTCACTGCATGAAAGTTGAATTTCACAGCAGTCTATCAAAGACGTTAAAGCAAAAGGTTAGATATAAATTAGAACATGCTTAAAAGGCATATCAGCGTCGTGCATGGTGGCACACAACTATAATCCTAGTACTGAAGAGACAGAAGCAGGAGGATTACAAGTTCAAGGCCAGCTTGGGCTGCAAAGTGAGATCCTACGTCAAGAAATAAGAGAGAGGCATATCAATTAATGAAACATAAAGACCTTGTTTGGATTTCTAGTCAAACATTAAATAATGAGAGGATTGGAAATCCTGAACACTAGTTATAACATCAGATAACTTTATGTGCCCTGTAATGTTTTGAAAAACTATAAATGTCATCATTTCAAAATAAGGGATTCAGAGCCTGCAGAGCACTGTTTGATTTTCCAGAGAACCTGAGTTCAATTCCCAGCATCCAAGTGTCTCTAACTCCAGTCCCAAGGACGCAATATCTTCTTTCTTACCCTTGCAAGCTCTGCATATACATGGTACATAGACATACCTGCAGGGTAAAATCTTCATGCACATAAAATAAACAGATGCTTAAAAATAGATAAGATTTGTTTACATTAAAATCAAGATTTCAAGTAGGGCAATGGTGGCACATCCCTTTAATTCCAGCATCTGGGAGCAGAGGCAAGTGGATCTCTACAAGTTCGAGGCCAGCCTGGTCTACAGTGCTAGTTCCAGGACCGCCAGGACTGTTACACAGAGAAATCCTGCCCCAGAAAACAAACAATAAAAAACCATATTCCCTAGATTAGTTTGAGACCTGGGGAGTTTGGGCCACAGATGAACCCATCTCTCACTCAGCTACCATGGGCTATAATGAAGGCGTGTTTACTCTCCGTCTCAACCTCAGGACCAAAGTGTCACACTTTTCCTAAAGCCTTTTTCGGTGAACCCAATCACTGCTCATTTCTCATCCATATGCCCTCTGAGAATACATGTTAATTATCCAACTAGCTCTTCACACATTGTCTGCTTGGTCCTTTGCAAATGTCTTACCTTCCTTTCAGTATGCTGGCTAGCCTAAGGCCTCAAGAGGCTATAAACACCATAGAATGATGCATTGTGTTGCCCTACAGGTAATTCCCAAATTCAAAGTGGTGATATGGAAAAATAAGCTGAAGACCACAATCTCTAGATTAAAAAAAAAAGCAAAGCTGGACTGGAGAGATAGTTAGCAGTTCAAAGCACTTGTTGCTCTTGCAGAGGAGCCGGGTTCGATTCTCAGCACTTCCATGATGACTCATAGCCATATGCAACTCCAATGACCTCTTCTGACCTCTGTGTGCACCAGACATTCGTGTGTTGCACATACATACATGCAGGCAACAAACATACCTAGACATATGAAATAATGAAATAAGAAAATCTAAAAAAAAAAAGTTAAGAAGCAAACCTACAGAGGAGTTGAGAGAACAGGAAAATTAACTGCATAGATCTGTCTAGACTTTAAAAAAAAAACCTTTTGTAGTATTTGTCATGGTGGATTTCCCCCCTAAACACTTGACAGTATGTATCTGACATTGAATCGTCACCCCTAAATTCTTTAGCATTTTTTTTTAAAGAAAAGCAGCATTTTTCTATATGGCTACAACATTATTTTCACAGCCAAGAAATTTGAGCTTCTTATAGTGTTATCATTCAGTTTATATTTGAAGTTTCCTGACTGTCTCGATTAGAAATGCCTTTTTGTGCTCAGTGCTGAAGAATGAACATTCCTACATCTTAGACAAGAGCTCTACCACAAAGCTGTGTCTGCAACTCCGTAATGAGCACCTTGAACACTATTCTTAAATCCAGCTCCGCAGCAATGTTCATATATTGTATTTGGTCTGTTTAGCCTCCTGTGATCCAGAATAACTCCCTAAATTTGCAGTCTTTCATTATATTTTATGTCAGCCTAGATTTGTATAAATGTTCCTTCATTGCTAGATTTAGGTTTGGACTTTTAAAATTAAGAAATGACAAAGATACTTTCATGTTTTGCCAGACGGATTGTGAAGCTTGTATTTGTGCATGTGTGTGCACAAATGTCCTTTATTAATGTCCTCAGCATAGGTGTGTCATATTAATAATCATGGCTACCATCATGCATCTAGGACAAAACACTGTATTTGCTGAGAAGCAGATCTTTGATGCTATAATTGATTTCAAGCCCCTCAATAATTATTATCCACTCTGTGTGTGTGTGTGTGTGTGTGTGTGTGTGTGTGTGTATGCATGTGTGTCAGATTTGGAGGGACACCATGTTGTTTTGTGGCACCTGTCATTTGTGTTGACTGCTGAAGAACTGGAACAGTTGTTTTATATGTTTAGTGGTCATTTGTGCTGTCTGTCATCTGTAGAGGCCTGTACATGTCCTTTGAACACATTCAGAGGCCATAAATCTTTGTGCATTCTAAGTTATAACAGTCTTTAAATTTTTTATTTCTTTCCAAAAGATTTATCTTTGTATTTAAAGTATATGTATTGGTGGGGGAAGGCGTGTATGAGCGCAAGTGCTCGTGAAGGCCGGAAGTGTTGGGTCACCCTGGAGCTGAAATGGAGCTCAGGTCCTCTGCAGGAGCTGTGTATGCTCTCCCCCACTGAGTCAGTCATCCCTCCACATCACATTTCCCTTTGCTCTTTGAAAATTGTATTTCTTATTTCTTTTTTTTTAATTTTTTTTAATATTTATTTATTTATGTATACAATATTCTGTCTGTGTGTATGCCTACAGGCCAGAAGAGGGCACCAGACCTCATTACAGATGGTTGTGAGCCACCATGTGGTTGCTGGGAATTGAACTCAGGACCTTTGGAAGAGCAGGCAATGCTCTTAACCTCTGAGCCATCTCTCCAGCCCGTATTTCTTATTTCTTATTTCATGTTATTGATTTATTTTGAGACAGGGTTTCACTATGTAACAGCCCTGGCTGTCATGGAACTAGTTCTGTAGACCCGGCTGACCTCGAACTCCTAGAGATCCGCCTGCCTCTGCCTCTGCCTTCCAACTGCTGGGATTAAAGGCGTGCACCATTGTTGATCGCCCTGCTCCCTCTCTCATTCTTCACTCTCATGAAACTAACTCATCTACGAATAAAAGCACATGGCTACTCTAGGGAAATGTTTAGGGTCCAAATTCCAATACTGTCACTTACTGTGTGACATTAGACAAACGATTCTTTTTAGTTTCTTGGTCGGTATGATGGGGACAGTAGAGATACATGCTTCAGAGGATGGTAGGGGGACTAGTAATAAGTTTATATTTTACTACAAGTGGTAAGTGTCATGTTACAGAGTTAAACATGGGTAGCCACTATTAGTTTCTTCCCTTTATAGCTCCATGTCATTTCAAGATTCAGTGAGCTCATCAAAGTGCTTATTTTAGAAAGAGACTCTTGCACCTTACCTACTACCTCAATTCTAACCTGCCTTCCTAGGACCATGTGTCAGCATATACATTAGTTATCTATGACCCCCTCCCATCCTCTCCCCCGAAAACTGGGCTTTTCATGTAGTGTTCAAAGGTGGTAAACTCATAATACAGGAAGATGATTGACAAATAACCGTTAAATGATTCAAATGAACTTAAGGATAGTGAAATACGGAACGTGACAGCGTAGAGGTAGAGGTGACAAAAGGAAAGAACGTTCGTTGGCCAAGTAGGCAGCTGATTGGCTGGTTCCAGAATGCATCACTATAGAGCCTCAAATATAAGAGACAAAGTTAGTCGCTGTCCAGCCAGTGTAGTGACTTGGCAAGTGAAAGCTAATGCTACCTAGATTGAGGGTCTTCGGGTAGAGCGGGGAGTCCCCGAGCCCCGCCCCGCCCCGCCCCCCGGGGACCCAGCCAGGGCCCCAGCAGAGGCAGAGGCGGCGCCTGCGCCCTGCCGCCCAAGAACCACTAGTGGTTCACAACTCAGCTCCGAAGATGGCCGACCACGCTTTTGCGGGTACCAGTGGCAACACATCTTTGCGGGGTCTACGAGAACGCTTGGGTGAGTGGGCTGGGAACCCCCCAGAGGGATAGGAGCCCTCATAGAGCACTGGGGTTACTGTAGTCCCAGGGACCAGCAGAGACGCTTGGCTGGGCAACTTTTTAGTGGGGAGTCCGCTCGTCCTATCTGGTCTGTGTCCCCTCATCTCTCTGAACACCCCGGGTTGGGACAACAAAGATTAGAGGACCCGGGCGTGGAGGCGAAACGGTTGGTCAGTACTGTCGGTGGCCCAATGGCCACTGCTGGGCGGATGCCATCGAACCCGGGCTTCATCCCCGCCTGCCATCAGGCACCAGTGACACCCGCGCAACTGCAGGAACACGCAAGGATGAGTGGGCGCTGGCGCGTGCTGGACATAGCTGCAGTTGGGGTGGCCCTGCCAAGATAAGGAAGTTTGGGGTTTCCCTGCATCCTAAGATGTTGGTACTTTCCAGGTCAAGGTCAAGGGAGAAGGGAACTGGGACTTAGGGCTTAGAAAGTTGGGAAGAGACTTCTCTGCAAAGTAGCCCTGCACTAGCACGTGACTTTGTCTCTAGGCTAAACGGAACGAGAAGCTGCACCTAGCAATGTTTTCTCCTCAACAGGTCTTATAATCAAAACTTTTTCCGTCGGGGGGGGGGGACCTGGCGGGGTATGTTAATCTTACCAATTTTGGCAGTACCTGCTTAATTCAGGAAATTGTGAGACGAGGTAGTATCTCTTGTTGGCTGCTTTCGGCTTGCTAACAGTCTAGATTCCCCCAGATATGCCTGTGAAGAAGACGCTTTTGATTGCTATTGAAAACCTAAGGGAATTTTAAATTGTAATTAAAAGGTTAATTCCGATTGGCTGAGATTCAAAGACCATATATTACTGAAGAACACTTTGAATCAAGTCTCCAAAAAGTGTCAGAAGCAAGTACATACATTTTTGCCATTCCATAGGGGGCAAATAATATTCCTCGAGCCTCTAGCCTATTTTAAACTCTGGAGAGTTTGCAATCAATTGCTATATTGTTTATTGACTTTTATAACTCTCTGGTATTAGTTTAAAATAATTGAAATTAGCTAGCGTGTATTCCCATATCTTGAAGGAACTGGGGTCTGATACCCCCTAGCATTAATTATTTATTAAGTGTTGGAAAATAGTTAAAGTTTTGGGGTGGTTGTTTACATTTACAGGGCTTCAAACTATTAAAGACAACTTTAAGCTATGCAAAGAGGGGGAGGGGATTTAATCCTGATCCGTTGTTTACATCCTAGCTGCAACATTAGGTTGAAAACACCACATGTTGAATTTGCACAGCTCACCAGTTTAACTGCCCTGCTAGTTCCAGTATTTTCTGTAGGAGTTAATTTCATCTCCTGCTGGAGTCCCGACTGCATGAATTAAAAAGGTGTCCTGAATAAATAATCTCTGTGGGTGCACAGTACAATTTACATGCATGTGTTTTACAAATGTGTAGGTGTGTGTGTGTGTGTGTGTGTGTGTGTGTGTGTGGATTAACACACAGATATATATATGAACTTAACGGTTTTCTACATATTGTAGTATACTTGTGCTGTATACTGAAGCATTATATTATTTTAACAACCCAATTCCTATTTTCTACACAATTGTTTTAAATTAAAACTGTTCAGCCAGATGAGCATGAAAAACTTGTAACTAGTCACTTTTCTCTTCTTTTTTTTTTTTTTAAATTCACACAAGGTTTCTCAGTTGAGTATGGCTTACTCACAGACTGGGTCCCATAAATGCAGGCAAAGCTACTGAGGCTGCGAGCCAGATTATCAACATTTTAAAGCTACAGAAACCTTCAAGTTAGTCTAGCAGCCAGAATCCCAGACTCAGAAACCCTGAGCAGCTCCCACAGCTTGAATGTGTGCTGTGCTGGACAACCCAATATTTGTGTTACTATGTGGAATGGTAATGTGCTCTTAGCCAGTGTGGCTGCTGGGCACGAAGACTGCAGCAGTTTCCCACCAGCCTTTATCTGAATGCTTTCGGTAGCCAGTTGTTCTCCTGGACTCAATTGCTGCAGACCAAAGAAAGGTTTTAAAATGTTTTCTTCTTTAGAGAACAGTTGAAAAGAATTTGTGCTAGTATGCTTTTCAGAAATAACGTGGCGACAAAATGCCAGTAGTTTAATTATGAGTAAGGCGAGAAGAATCTAATATTTAAGTTTATTTAACTAGGTCATAGTTTATCTGAACTGCTAGGTCCCCAGGGCGTACAAACAAATCCTTTTTCTTTTTTTGAAATGATGATCCCTATGGTAGCAATTGCAGGGCCACTTTCAAGGTTACCCCCTAAAATGAATCCCAGGTAACTTTTCCCCAATGCAGCCACCATCACAGAACCCATTCATTCTGTGTGTCCGTTAGCACCTTAATTATTTGAGCTGTCTGTTTTGAACTGTGATAAATCTCTTAAGAGTTAATAATCAGACCTGTGAGGTGTGACCTCGAGCATATTTTCTCTGCTTTTGCACAAAGGTAAAAACACTTAACTAGGCAGTGGTGATATAAGCCTTGAATTTCAGAACGTGGGAGGGAGGCAGGCAGAGATCTACAGAGCAAGTTCCAAGGCAACCAAGGCTACACAGAGAAATCCTTCCTTGAAAACAAAAAACAAAAGAAAAGCAAAAACAGTTTTTAATGTTCCCCAAGGCCGTTGTCCAGGATTGTGGGGAATTTTAGACGCAGCCATGCATTCAAGGTTCAGGAATTCTCTAGAATCCATCTTAATGTATATTATCTTTCACGTTTCCTCTCTTTCCCTCAATTTACCTTATTGATGTTTACTTGCCGCTTTTCTACGTGTTGACAGAAGGCATATATTTGGTGCGGTTTATATATTTGCCTTACGCGTTTTAAAACTAAACATTGGTTGTCCTTGCATCTTCATAATGCATTAGAATAGAGCCTTAGGGGTGCTGAGGGTACAGGGGTGTGGCTTCATGGGGGAAGGGTACATTGCTTAGCATATTAGAGCCCCGGAGTTCAATCCCAGTTACCACAGAGAAAAGAAAGAAAGAAAATGAGCTACTTTTTAAACCGTTCCAGGTGCTTGAGCCCCACTTCCATAGGGGAGGTACAGGCTTGTTTTGAAAGCCACTTAGGCAACTAGTGTATCAACAGCCTAGAAAGTAGCTGATTTGGTCATTTATAAATGTTTTATGATATTTGGCTCAATCTCTGGGTATCTACTTGTTTGTACACTGCTTCTAGATTTGTGTCTATAAATATTGTTTAGAAGATTTTGATTTTATCTATGTGAATGTTGTGTCTGGTATATGTAGATACACCACTGGCACGCAGCGCCTGTGAAGGCCAGAAGAAGGCATCAGGGCCCCTGGAAATGTGAATTTAAGACAGATGTCAGGTGCCTTGGGTGTGTGCTGAAAACTGAGCCTGAGTCCTCTGCAAGAGCACCGAGTCAGCTCTCCAGCCCAAATTCTTCATTTATTCTTTTGACATATGGTTGAGGGCTGCTGTCCTTGTATTAACTGTTAACAAATAAGGCCTTTTCCCTGTCTTCCTGTGTTTTAGTTGCCGTAGCTCAAGAACTAGCTGAAGAACGGCGACGTAAACGTGGTATTAATTCTTCTGCAGTTACTTCTAAGAGATCGTCGTGTACACCTGGTATACTTTCAATGTTTTGATATATCAGTGCTGTAGTTTTAAAAGCCGGGTGGTGGTGGCGCACGCCTTTAATCCCAGCACTCAGAAGGTAGAGGCAGGCAGATCTCTGTGAGTTCGAGGCCAGCCTGGTCTACAGAGTGAGTTCCAGGACAGCCAAGGCTACACAGAGAAATCCTGTCTAAGAAAACATAACTATTTAATAGAATTAATATCATACTTATGGTTAATTTTTTTGTAGTTTTAGATGGTTCCGTCCTTAAAAATGACATCAAACAACAATTAGCCAAAGAACGCAGGGAAGAGAGAAAACGCCAACAAGAAGGTAAGCATGTTGGACATTTCCCTTTATGTATAGCTTATATATTTCGGACTTGGTTTTTTACTCACTTTGCTTAATCTGTTTATATGCTAGACTGTAATTTTATTATGTAAAATATTAAGTTAACTCCATTTACTGACCCACACCAAGAAGACCAATGAGGTACCTGTGACCAAATTATTTAATTTTTGAAGGAGTAGTTTCAGTTATCTGAAAACGGAGGCCTGGAACTTTCTTCAACAGTTGTAGAAACAAGCAGGATAGGAGTTCAGTGAAAATGGGATTTAGAATAAATTAAGACTTTCTACAACTTGGTTTAAATCAACTGACAAAATAAATGCTCAGATTTATGCAAGTGGGATGCTATAGGTGATCTTCATTGCAGTGGCAGAGATAGAAAGTAATGTTAGAGAGGTTTTTTAATTAATTTATTTATTTATTAAAGATTTTAGCCTCTTCTCCACTACCGCCTCCCATTTCCCTCCCCTTCCCCCCATCAAGTCCCTCTCCCTCGTCAGCCCAAAGAGCAATCAGGGTTCCCTGCCCTATGGGAAGTCCAAGGACCACCCACCTCCATCCAGGTCTAGTAAGGTGAGCAACCAAACTACCTAGGCTCCCACAAAGCCAGTGCGTGCAGTAGGATCAAAAACCCATTGCCATTGTTCTTGAGGTCTCAGTAGTCCTCATTGTCCGCTATGTTCAGACTGGCTTTAACCCGGGCTTTTTCAGACCCAGGCCAGCTGGCCTTGGTGAGTTCCCGATAGAACATCCCCATTGTCTCAGTGTGTGGGTGCACCCCTAGCGGTCCTGAATTCCTTGCTTGTGCTCTTAGTGAGAAGGTTTTTAAAGCTTTATTTATTTATTATGGATATAGTGTTCTGCCTGCATATCTGCCTGCATGCCAAAAGAGGGCACCAGGTCCCACTATAGATGGTTGTGAGTCACCTTGTGGTTGCTGGGAATTGAACCCATGACCTTTGGAAGGGCAGCCAGTACTCTCAACCTCTGAGCCCTCTTTCCAGCCCCTAGGGAGAATATTTTATAACTGCACAGACACGGATCCTCTGCTTGCAGTCAGAGAAGACCTGAATATCGTAAAGCATATTGGGTCGACTTCTAAGTCTATTCATGAAACACCTGCTTATCAAGTAGCATCTGGAGAGTTGAAGACGTTGAAAGAGGTTTCAGAGTAGATTGAAGCAAAATATAGATTCAGCCCATGTGTCCTTTAACTTGTATTTTAAAACACATGTTTCTCTGATGCAGTTTGTTTTTAGCTCAAACTAGCAAACTAACCGCATAGAAGAAAACATTTCTTCCTACTTTGGAAGTTTAGTTTGCGTAGGCCAAGAGTCATCTGGCTTAGAAATGCCAGCTCTTCACAGTTCAGTGACCACTTTGTAAAAAGTGGTTCTTTAGTGGCCACGTGTGTTTACACACATGAATTGTACATGTTCTTTACTGGACCTGGTTATGTTGCCTTAAGAATGATAATGGGACAGATTAGCTTTTTTTTTTTTTTCCTTCTTTGCGTTTAATGTGGAAAACTTTTCTTGGCTTTAACCCCATGAAAATGTACTTGGAATATTTCAGCCAACAAGGAGAAACAACTGCTTGAAAAACAACAGAAAGCGAAGCTACAGTATGAAAAACAGTTGGAAGAAAGACACCGAAAACTGCAAGAACAGAAGGAAAAGGACGAGCGACGCCGAGTATCTGCAGAAGAAAAAAGAAAACAGAAACAGGCGGAAGATAAAGTATGCTACTTCCCAGGCTGTCCATTTAGTGCTGGCATCGTGTGCATCTGAAATATTGTTTAGCCCTTTTCTGTATTTACTGGCCCTGTAGAAAGGAAGGGAGCAACCTCATTTTCTCCTATTTGTTTCCCATTTTTCCTTACCTTCAGTCCAAGCGCTTAAACACTAATTTCAAGGAGAAAAGAGGAGGCATGAAGGTCCAGAAACCGAATTCTATTGGCCTTTAGAGTGCACTACACAGCGTACCTTGGTTTGGGGTTAGCTCAAAACTACTGTCTACCACCTGCATAAGGACTCCAAACCTACCACCCCACCTCTCTGGCAGGTCCCATCTGGCAAGCTGATTTCTTCCAAGTTACCCAGTCTTGTGACTTCCTGAGAGAGAATGAATCATTAGAGACAATTTTGAGAATTAACAAACAAAACAGGAAATAATACAGAGTGTGTGTGTCGGGGGGGGGGGGTCCTTGGTGGACAGAGACAGTCCAGGACAGTGCCATCTTAGTAAAAAGAGGAAGTTGAGAGAAAGAGGAAAAAAAAAACACAGAACGGAACAGAAGCAAATGTCAGTATAGACAGAAAGGGAACCAGAAAAATGGCAGGAAAAAAGATGGCAAAAGGGCATCAACTCCAAAGAGCTAGTGGGTGTGAGCCCAGCCCCAGCCTGGCACATAGACATTGTAAAGTAGGCTAACACGTTTCTCTTTGGCCTAAGAAGAGCAGGGTGGGCACTAGAGAGATGCTCTTGTTGGGTGACAGTTGCTGCCAGGGGATAAAACAAAACCCTCTGGGCCTGAAGTTGATTTGCTCACTGGAACATAGTCGGGATATTATAGTACAGGAATGAAAAACCCCTGAGCAAAGAACTCATTTCTAAACTTGTACTTATTCTGCCGCATTATGGCATGTGATTTTTGTGACTTATCCTGGCCAGTTCAGGCTGCAGCTAAAGTCGAGATAAATACACTGCTTGCCTTAAAAAAAAAAAAAAAAATTCTTACTTAGCACCAGGATTTAAGCTCTTATAGATATGAATGTAATAGACAAGAAAAAACTTTGGCATAGATTTGACATAGGCATGTCACCTTTTCCTATTTCTTTCCACAAAAAAAAAATAAGGTTATTACAAAATAGACTACAGCATTGGTTAAAATAAATGTTAAGGGATCCAGCAGAAGTGGAAATGGAGATGGCCAAACATAGGGATGCGTAGCTTAGCATGCATCAAAGTACACCACTCAGTCTGTCCATTTGCCGCACCAGCTTGGCTCCAAGTTTCCTAATGATAGAAGTGAAAAGAGAAGCATGGTCAATTTCTTGATGTAGTATCCACAAAATAAAATACGGGTAATTCAGGGGCAGCACTGGTATTCAATGATGAAATTAAAATTTGTCTCCCAATTCTTTTAAACTTTTACCTACTTGATAAAGAAATGCAGCGATGGGATTAGTTTTAGAAACAATAAATAAAATTGTGGTAATATCATAACCATATAAAATGGTTTGGCATTTCTTTTAAACAGGAAAAATTCAAGGCGGTAGTGTCCCGTACAATGGAGAGGTGCAATCGTGCTGATCAGCGACAGAAGAGGTGGTCGTGGGAGGGGAGTGTGACCAACGCTGACAAATCAGGTAAATAACAGTTGTAATTTGGGCAGGGGCGGGGTTTCAAGGCAGGGTCTCTGAGTCGTTCTGGCTGTCCTAAAACTTGCTCTATAGATCCGGCTGGCCTCAAACTCAGAGATCTGCCTGTCTCTGCCTCCCGAGTGCTGAGATTATAGACACGTGCCACCACCGCCTGTCAATAGTTGCTAGATTTAAGTTCACTGATATCCATTTTAACCGTCAGTTGCTGTTAGAAGGCTGTAATCTGTGATAGGATCTACTACCTATGTCCTATCACCTGACAAAGCAGAAGAGATCAGATTTTAACTCAGAATACACTAAACTTTATTTAAATTTGCAATCGGCACAAAAATGACATACAAAGTTTAGCCAATGCTTTTTTTTTTTTTTTTTAATAAACTAAGTCCAAGGCTGGAGAAATAGGTCAGTCAGTAAAGCCACTTGCCTTGCGAGTTATAAGACCCGAGTTCGCTCCCCAGAACCCACTTAAGAATAATCCAGGTGTGGTTGGTAGGTATACACACATATTTCCAGCACTGGAAAGGCAAGGGTCGATTCAAAATAGCTGTTGCCATTACTTTAGTATTATTTCTTGAAGGATGTCAATGAGAAAACTACATGACTTACAACTCTGGGGCTATGTTCATCACATTGTCAATGCAAGGAATTTTCACATGGCATAATAGTGCTACTTTCACAACAACAATGTATACTTTATTTTACAAGTCTTAAAGAAAAGGAATTCTTGTTTAATGACTGTCTCAGTATCCTGAGCTAGAATATTTCAAATAAAATGGGAAGTATTTACACAAAGCCAATTGTTTTCTCTTATTGTTTTGTTCCCTTGTGACATCTATAGCAAATATAAATGGATTTTGCTTTAAAAATAGTTATAATTAAATGATCCATTCAGTATTCTTAGACACCATCATGGATTGTGTTTAAAATTAAAGATTAAATATCCACAATTTAAGATTGATGTTGTCAATATTAGACATTTTCCCTATTAATTTTTATTGGTTTTTGTTTGTTTGTTTTTCGAGACAGGGTTTCTCTATGTCTTGCTTGTCCTGGGACTCACTCTGTAGACCAGGCTGGCCTCCAACTCACAGAGATCCGCCTGCCTCTGCCTCCTGAGTGCTGGGATTAAAGGCGTGCGCCACCACGCCTGGCTAATGGTTTTCATCATTTTCTAAGTAACTTTTATTTTCACCTCAAATAAGATAAAGAGTAAATTTTTAAGTTTGGGGTTGTAAACTACATAATACTTGAAGTTAGATAAATTCTTGCAAGTAAGAGTTGAAAGAACTTTAAACTGTTTAATAAGATGCGTGAGCCACCTGAAAAAATAAAAAGGAAAGTAAGATTCCTTTGTACTTGATGTTTAGGAAAAACGGAAAGTAAACGAAGCTCTTCTCTGAATAGAAAAGACAATCAATTACATCCCAATGTTGATGAGGAACACGTGGACACTACGCCTGGTGAGTAGTTAATGCCAAGATACTGGTTTAAACCACAACGTGTGTGTGTGTGTGTGTGTGTGAAGGTTAGAGGACAATTTGTGGCAATCGACTTTAACATGCGGGGGTTCCAGAGACTGAACTCAAGTCCTTAGGCTTAGTGGCAAGTGTCTTTACCCACTAAGCCATCTCGCAGCCCCCTCCCACTTCTTATTTTATAGACGTCACACTGCAGTCCTGGCATAGTCCAGATGGCCTTGACCTTATAACAACCCTCCTCTCGGCCTCTTGAGAGCTGACTTCCTGGCATCAGCTAGCAATCCTAGCTTTAAAGTGGTTTCTCTCTCTCTCTCTTTTTAATTTTTGAGACAGGGTGGGTTTCTCTGTATAGTCCCGGCTGTCCTGGAACTAGCTCTGTAGACCAGGCTGGCCTCAAACTCAGATCCACCTGCCTCTGCCTCCCGAGTGCACCACCACCACCTGGCTTTAAAGTGATTTCTCTCTGACAGCTTTTCTCCTCTACCATCTCCTTTTCCTCTTCCCCTTGCCTTTGCTTCATCCTGCCCTAGTTTGCTTCTTTGTTACCCTGATGAAACACTAGCCGACAGCATCTTAGGGAAGACAGGGTTGCTTGCAGCCCATCACTGGAGGAAGCCAAGGCAGGTACTCAGGCAGGAGCTGGAAGCAGAAACCACAAAGGAATACTGTTTACTGGCGCATTTCCTGCTCACTTTCTCCCATATGCTTCTTAAGAAAATCAGACCCAGCCGGGCGATGGTGGCGCACGCCTTTAATCCCAGCACTCGGGAGGCAGAGGCAGGCGGATCTCTGAGTTCGAGACCAGCCTGGTCTACAGAGCTAGTTCCAGGACAGGCTCCAAAGCCACAGAAAAACCCTGTCTCAAAAAACCAAAAAAAAAAAAAAAAATCAGACCCTGTATCAATCAGCAATCAAGAAAATGCCCCCCAGACATGCCTACAGGCACGTGCTGGCGGCAATTGTTCAACTGACGGCCATCTTCTCGGGCGTCTCTAGTTCACGTCAAGTGCACAGTAGGAGACTTACCTTAATTGATTCAGGTGAAATCCTTTGGGAAGAAATGCAATTTGTGTTAGGGATCTTTATAAAGATTTAAACAAAATATTGACCGCCCCCCCCCCAAAAAAAACACTTTTGACAAGACCATTGTGTTCAGTCCCAGGACCTGGGTTAGGTTCTCACCACCCACACGGCAGCTCACCACTGTCGGCACATCCAGTTCTAGAGGATTCAATTTCCTCTTCGGGCCTCTGAGGGCACCAGGCATGCAAGTAAACACTCAGGCACATACGAGAAAAATAAATAAGTCTTTTAAAAATGTGGTTGAGACTTTGAAACACAGTGTGATTCAAATAGAAACCTTTTGCTACAAGTATCCACTTTCCAGGGACAGCTGATTTTCATTTGTAGTGAACCATTGTGGTTACAGCAACTCTGTTGCTGATGTCCCTTCTGTGATACTACATTTCTAATGGTTCTACTCTCAGTGATCTATCTATCTCACTGACCAGTGCCTATACTGTGTAAAATGCCTATAATTTCCTATTAAATAGCGCTTCTCTATTGTCATACTGTGAACACGGAGTGTTTTTATCTGGTCAAATTCCTACCTTTATGTGGACTTTTACTCTGTCCTCATTCACTTATAGGCATGACCAAATATGTTTTCCGCTATGTTACTGCACCAGTATTTACTACTGATGGGCTAAAGTCTTCCGCAATATTCTGTAAGTCATCATTAAAAATGCCACTTCCAGCCAAATTAGAAATCACACCCACAAAGAAAATCGCAACATCTCTCAAGGAAAACATGGAAAGACCAGCAAAGGCGAATGCAGAAATGCCACCCAAGATGAACATGGAAGAACGCACACAGGCAAACCTGGACGGACCATCTAAGGCTGATGTGGAAATGGCACTCCGAAACATAGCGGACATCTCTGAGGCTAAGGTGGACATTTCCCCCAAGGTGAATATTGAAGGACTCGCTGGTGGGAGCTTGATGAAGCACCCCGAATCAAATGCTGAAGAATTCCCCCAAATGAATGTGGATGCTTCTTCAAGTGTTGAACCATCCCCCATTGTGAGCGAGGATTCATCCCCCGTTCTGAGTATCGGATCATCCTCTGTTGTGAGTGTAGAAATATCGCCTGTTGTGAGCATAGATAGCTCACCAGAATTAAGTTTGGGCTCGGCAAGTGCTGTGCCCTCGGAAACACTCATAGAAACATCTCAGACTTCTCTTAAGACCAGCGAGGAATTAAACCTTGAGGCCAGTATGAAAGCACAGCCTGAGACAAATGTTGAAGGACCACCCCAGGTGAGTGTGTGAGCACGGCCTAGACAAGGTGAGTGTGCAGGCACGGCCTAGGTAAAGTGAGAGTGGGAGCGTGGACTAGGTAAGGTGCTTTATAGACACACAGCCTAGACAAGGTGAGTGTGGGCACAGGCTAGACAAGGTGAGTGTGGGCACAGGCTAGACAAGGCGAGTGTGGGCACAGCCTAGACAAGGTGAGTGTGGGCACAGGCTAGACAAGGTGAGTGTGTAAGCACAGGCTAGACAAGGTGAGCGTGAGCACAGCCTACACAGGGTGAGCGTGAGCACAGCCTACACAGGGTGAGCGTGAGCACTCCTTGAGGTGATAGTGGGAGTTTCTCGGGCAAGTGGAGGAATGCCTCTCATGACGTGAGAACAGCTCCCAAGGCTAAAGGGGCAGACTTCAGAGATTTGTTTAGCAGTTAATGTGAAATACATTAAGGAAAAAGGCTTCTGAGGAATGTTCTGGACTGTTCAATGAGGTCTAGAAATGGAATTAGATTTTGAAATAGAAGATTTTTAAATGTATTTCTGTGATATACTTGCATTGTGTAACTTCTTAGCCTAGAAAAAAGAAATATCTAATGTTTCATGAATTAAAAGAAAATTGGAGGTTTCGGGGACTGTGACTCTATAGTATAGTATAATAATTGCTAGTAAGTTTCTTCTTATCTTATTGACTTGGTATGTTCAGAACTCAGAACTGGACAACACACGAAGTGTAAACCTTACCACCAAGAAACAGCAGCAATCACACACACCGTGTTACAGATGGCCGTCATCGCCTGCAGTCGGGTGGCGCCCACCTTCTCCCATGAAGGCTGTGTAAGTAACCTATTTGCAGTTCCTTCTGATAGGCATATTATTGGAACAAATGCCATATCAGTGTTTCCTAAAGGAAATAATATAACATGCAAGGTAAGCAATTGCAAATGGGAAAAGCGAAGTAGCTTTACTCTCTCCGTTATAAAAATGTCCAGCTTGTAATTACTTATAGTATCAGTGCATTGCGTCACTCATAATTAAATACTGAAAAGTAATCGGGACACATGTGTTACTTTTTCTCAGCAGGCAGAATCAAAAGATTCGACCACCATAGCCTCTACCAGTCTCAAGAATATCATCGAAGACTTCTCTTTCGTATAAAATAACCCCAGTTCAGAATATCCTGTATGTGCCGAATGCATTAGGCACAATAACAAAGACAAAAGAACCCGTTCAAAAGCGTATGATCAACAGAGGTAAATTCTTTTCCTAAGTATTTTAGCGACACAAAAATCTTGAAGTACTTGAGAATCATCATAATTTTATTCCCTAATTGATGGGACTTTGGGAGTGGTCTTTCTTTTAGATAAAGAGAATTAACCAAGCACTGGTTCACTGGGATGCTGCTTCTCTGCTTGTTTACCCACCCCTCTGTTCGGAAACTTCGTTTTTGGAGCCATTGCTAGAAGCTTAAGTTGGATGAGAGGGTTGAGCCTATGATCTTTGTGGGCCCTTCCAGCTCAGATATTGGCTTGTTCTTTGTAGTATGAGGGGGAGCGGGCGGCATCCCGCTGCCTGGCTAGATTAACCCCCCAAAATAACCACATGGAAATTGTATTAATTAAATTGCTGCCTGGCCCATAAGCTCTAGCCTCTTATTGGCTGACTCTCACATCTTGATTCAACCCATTTCTAATAATCTGTATGTCATCACGAGGTTGTGGCTTACCAGGAAAGATTCAGCATGTCTCTGACCTGGCAGCTTCATGGTGGCCCGGCTCTATCTGCTGCTTTCTTCCTCCCAGAATACAGTTCTGTCTTCTCCACCTATCTAAGTTCTGCCCTATCAGGCCAAGCAGTTTTGTTATTGATTAACCAATGAAAGCAACACAAATACTGAAAGACCTCCTCCACCAGTTCTTAGAGAGTTTATCCAGCTACATGTGCTTGAATAACTTTTCATCAAATGTAGGCCAGTTTCCATATACATACATGACTTGTGACATGTCCTGATTTGTGCTGTACCCATGTTCACACTGTTACTTTGCCGGTAACATGCATTTTTACACATGTCAGTGCTATTGGCCTCAGATGTCCTGGGAATTCTGTTTTTAAAAGAAATTCCAGTGAATTATCTGTATCAAATGATCTTTTGATGATGAATTAGTCATTCTTAGTGTCGACAAATTTTCATTTCTATATAGTTTATCTAAACAACAAAATTAGTTATATAAACTTAATATTATAATATTCCTCCATGTTGAGCCAGCATGGCGGTGCATGCCTTTAATCCCAGAACTCAGGAGGCAGAAGCAAGTGGATCATTGTGAGTTCGAGGCCAGTCTGGTCTACAGAGTAAGTTCCAGAACAGCAAATAGTGAGGAGGGATAGATAGATCCATGTAAAATATACCTTATTTTAATGATAGTGTTGGCTTCTTTTGTTACCTACAGCTACCATTGTATGGTAACCACATGTATATGGGGTTGTCAAAGTTTAGGTAAACATCAATAGAAATGATGTACAAATCCCACACATACCAAATATTTAATTTGATTTGTTGAGTATTTTAAAAGTTTTTACTTTTCATTTGGATCAGGCATAAACTTGGCTTCAGCATATTTTAGTCTTTCATCATAGAGTCCTGGATTTACCTGTCTCTAACCAGTTAAATCAAAGTAGAAGTACATCATTGCATTTTGAATATTTCAATATGCATTTGTTTGAGAGACAACATGCTAATATTTTGTTAGGGATGAGCTGGCATTGTGAACAACTCCCCTAATTAGCTTGTGATTAATTTTTGGTCTGTGGTCGTATGTTTTTAATGGGTTCCCTAATCAACTGTTTCACATGTTTCTTTAAACTAGAATCTGGTAATAAAAGTGTGCCAAGCAGTGAAGCAGCTATGAAAGTTTCGATAGAGATACGCCATGCGGCTTATGAACAAAACGGCAAAAAGGAGAAAGAAAGAGACCAGCAAGAAGAGACAAAGCAAAGGTAATTACAGAATAACCGTTCTTTCCCTAATCCTTGGTGGGAGTCCAAACTTTTTTTGCCCTCAAATTCTAGGTTTCAAAATGGCAATTAACTGTTTTCTATGGTGAGAAGCCAATCATTGCTTTCTAGTTAGATAAAGAAAGGAAGGAAAGCCAGGCGGTGGTGGTGCACGCCTTTAATCTCAGCACTTGGGAGGCAGAGGCAGCCGGATCTCTGTGAGTTCGAGGCCAGCCTGGTCTACAAGAGTTAATTCTAGGACAGCCAGGGCTACATAGAGAAACCCTGTCTCAAACCTCTCCCCTTTAAAAAAAAAAAAAGAGAGAGAGAGAGAAAGAAAGGAAAAGGAAGAAAATAGAAAACACTTAAAAAGGTGTTCTAACTGGCTCAGCGGAGTGGTAACATCTCAGCTCCTAGATATTTGTTTGCCTTCACTGGAATGACAGGGGCAGGGGTTGGTGAGGAGACAGATATACTAAGATTCATCTCTATGTCGCCAAGGTCTCATATAGCCAAATGAATTAGTTCTAGAAGGTTGTCCCGGACAACATACAAAGAACATTTGAACTTGAAACGTTCTTGCTTGGTCATCTTGAGACCCATTTTGTGTTGTGTCTTGTAAACCCCTGTCCAATGCGGACAAAGGATACTGTAGGGCTGACTCTATTTCCAAGTACCAAGTGTTTCAAGCACAGTTGCTTGGGAAAAAGGAGAAGGAGATACTTTGAACAGGAAACAGTTTGAAACTTGGGCATGATTGCTCCTTGTCTTCTGCAAACAGAGCCGATTTAGCATTTGAAAGCACTGAGTCCTGGCACACCATTAGACCCTCCTCCAGATTACCTGTCATCATCCCTAGGTGAGATTGGGCATGTTCACATATAAGACCTTAAAGAATCTGTCTCTAACATGACTAAAGGCTATTTCTCTCTTGCATATGTGCACATATGTGAAGTAGTCAGGTACTTCTTAGAAATAAATTAGTATGCCCAAAGGTCTCATTTGTAAAAGGTGACTCTTGAATAGCAAGAAAGCTATCTTCCATAAATGCAATTGTATTACTATATCCAAGCAATTTCACCATAAATGCTTCCATAGTCCTGCAAACTATATATGGTAGCAGCTAAGAAAAATACTAAAGTTCTTTAAATACCCTCAGCATTTCTAGAAAATCAGACGGTATGGTAGAGAGAGTGGATAAAATCCCAATAGATGAATCCTCACCCTACAAAGATGAGCAGCAAGAAAAACATCTGACAAGGAGACATTTTGAGCCACCGGAAGACCAGAAAGAACGGCTACAGGTTTGTAGCCTTGCCATTGCCACTTCTGCTCAGAGAACCTGCTTAGAAAGTGCAGTTGCGAGGGGGCGGTGGTGGCGCACGCCTTTAATGCTAGCACTGGGGAGGCAGAGGCAGGTGGATCTCTGTGAGTTCGGGGCCAGCCTGGTCTACAAGAGCTAGTTCCAGGACAGGCTCCAAAGGTACAGAGAAACCCTGTCTCGAAAAACAAAACAGAACAAAAAAAAAAGGAAGGAAGGAAGGAAGGAAGGAAGGAAGGAAGGAAGGAAGGAAGGAAGGGCAGTTGCGATGCAAAGCCACCATCGGGGCCACTGAGCAGACCCAGCATTGTCTGGCTGCACTTCTTTGCAGTCTCCAAAACCTACATGGCCATAGCCAATTTCTGTTCCCAGGTTTAGTAGATCATTCCTCAGAACTGGTTACATCTAAATCTCCTTAAATCATCGTGTATGTTTGTATTGCTTGGCAGGGAACCCTCACAAATTTTCCCATAGCTTTTGAGGAATGTAAGAAAGTTGACTCCTTGCTGTGTTAATACCTCAAAACCACACGCTTTGAAAGCAGTGCTTCTCACGGGCTTTCATCAGAAAACACAGATGTTTACATTGCAATGCACAACAGTAGCAGAGTTACAGTGAAGTAGCAATGAAATTAATGTTATGGTCGGGGCTGGCCCCGAACTGCGACATGAGGACTGTGTTAAAGGGTCGCAGCAGTAGGAAGGTTGAGAACCCCTGAGTTAAGGTAAGGCAGGCACGTGTTCAGATGTCTGAAACATTTCAGACATCATCAGCCTCAATCTGTGTTTTGGACAGGCGTTGAAACTGAATAATACATGTGAGAAATGACCATGAGCCTTGCAACTGTTTGATTTTTTTTAAGTTAAAAAATTTCTTGTCGTCCAGATATTTTGAAATTAATGATATTTGTGTACCAATTTTCTAGAAAGGGGACACCACCACAATGAAATCTGAGGACAGAGCTCAAAGTAGACAGAAGGAACAGGAAAGAATTACGTTACAAAATTTGCAAGAAAGATTAGAGAGGAAAAAGGTAATTCTCTGTTTCATGTGCTTTGTGTTAATGGTGGGTACAAGCTAGCAACATTTCTCTGAAATCCTCAACCAGGTATGTGGTAGTCCCTAGCTGTCTGCCCACTGTGGTTGTTTATCCTAAGGTGCTGACTTCTATACAGGAAGTTATCCTCTTACTGGCGGTGTTTTGTGCCTCATGGTTGGCATTGTAGCAATGCCTCAATATAATCAAACCTGTAGAATCAACATTTCTTTTAGCAGGATGACTCCAGACTGACAGGTTAGTAGAAGTTTCTTCTAAACTGGGCTGTAGCTGGCACTCCATGTGGTGGGAAGAAGGGGAGGCCTCTTAGAAAGGCCAGTGTTTGAATTGTTTCTAAGGTAGGACCTGATTGGATGCAACCCCACGTGGTTTATCTAGGAGTCCTCTCTGTCACTCTGAGGCAGTCAACAAGCCACAGCTCTCCTCACCTTATGTCGTGGAGAGAATTCTTATCCCACTCTAGAGTACATCCTTCCTTCCTCAGCCTTCTGTTGCCTTAGGAACATAGCATCGTTGAAGTGCATTATTTTCATTAATGTTTGCTGCAGCCATGGTCTAGGAGTTCTAATTAGTTTGCAGCGATATGTGTTGAGTCTCACTGAAGTAGCCTGCGTAAAAAAGGGAACACGGAATTACCGTTTGAGTCTCTGTTATAATAGGAAGGACAATTGCTGCCGTTCACAGTATATTATAGCTTAGACCAGGGACAGAAGAGAACCCCAGCTGCTGCCCCAAGACTATCGTTAAGTCTGGGGTTTGGGGACAATTCCAGGCATTGCCTGCGATACAGTGGGGGTAATCACTATTTTTTAAAATCTCTTTTACGTTTTCATTTCCCTTTGACTAGAGGGTTGAGGAAATAATGAAGCGGACGAGGAAGACAGATGTGAATACCTCAAAGGTAGTCTCTACCCACCAGCGTGCATACGACTTCCTCTCGCTTCCTGCTCTTGGCATCTCTTCATTTTGACCAGTCTGGTGATAATGAAGTCTGGTGGCACCTTTGCAGTTCCCTGGTCCTTAAAAGCCCAGAGCTTGTCTTTCTAGCTCTAGTCATGTTCTCAATGTGAAATGCTTGCTTGGGTCTTCTTGCCTAAAACAGCGAGGCTGGTTTGTCTTCTAATTTCTTTAGCCAGTTCTTGGAATGTTCTAGACCCTGCTTGTGTTGTTGTTGAATTCGTAGCACTCTCCTCTCCCAATAGTCTTATTGTCATTTGCTGCTGGGGAGAAGCTCCCGGTGCTAATGTTGAATTTATCAGCATCTTCTGCTAGCTTCAGCGTTTTTTACGCCCTTCCTGAACACTTGGACATCTACTTTGGTGACATGCCTATCTGTCTCTTGTGTCACCTGCCTTTTCTTACTGATTTACAGGAGTTTTTACCTACTCTGAGCAGGAGTCCTTTGGAGGTATGTGTTCCAATCTTTTAATATAAAGCTTTTTGTGAACCAGTGTTCTTCATTTCAGCCAATGAATTCAGGCCACCCCCCCCTTTCCGTGACTGCTTTCTGCATCTGTGTTCCCGTTGCTTCTCACAACATGTCTTCTGACTATGGCACATGCACTCAAGGCTTGCTGTTCTCTCCATTCGGAGCCACTGACATTTGGTTACAAACTGCTCTTTTCCCTGGTCTTAGTTATCCCCACAATGTCTGATAGAAATGGCCCTTCTGAAAACTCTGTAGAGTCACAGCCACAAAGCTCATTCAGTTCACTGGCCCAGGGCCTTTGACGTCAGCCGCTGCTCCTGAGTTCATCTTGCTCGTTGCTGACTCCTCCCGCTCTGGCTGCACTAGTATTCCGAGCAGGGGATGAGTGGGAGCTGAGGGCTGGGGCTCTGCACTCTTGGGCCAGGAAAGAGTTCATTCTTGAGTGTCGCCCTAGCTGAAAGATGGAACTAAGGCCAGCAACCCATCATGAGGCCAGTTAAAGAGACTGATTTTTTTTTCTACCCTTTATTCAAAATGCCAAAAATTAGCCATGAGTCTAGTCTTTTCTTCTTTGAAATACTAAAATAGGATGGTTAAATGCATATAATCATGACTTTCTGTGCTAACCATAGACTTCAGAAATATCTGATAATTGCCCATCCGAAGAGGATGAAGCGGATGATGAAGGCGAAACAGAAAGCGATGGGGACTCCCTGGAGATGCTTCCATCAGGTTCGCTTGTTCCTCATGGTTACACATAGACACAAACACTGGTACTATCAAAATGAGGACTGGGTTTAAGCAGTCTCATGAGAACCGGGTCAGACACAGTGACTAGAGCCCCCAGGCTGCTTCTGAGTCATGGGGGGGAGGCTGCGGACAGTAAGGATATTTGAAGTAAAAGCAGATTCAGAGGCAACCAAGGGCAGGAAGCAAGGCATAATCCTGACCTTTGACCCATCAACCTTCACTAGCAAAGAAAAGAGGGATATTCTTTGAAGAATATTCCCTATGGCCACTACTGAATTAAGAGTTAGGCAAATTAATGCGCATGCTGGACAGCCCCTCAGCTGGCCTGCTCAGTCAGGCTTGACTGGGCCTGGTTCCCCAGAGCATTGCCTGCTTGGCCCTTCTTGCCTTAGGCAGGGAGACACACACACACACACACACACACACACACACACACACACACCCTATCACACCAGGATTAGAGGGTTTGATTTCTCTTGTCCTTGTTGTTGAAGTTCCAACTTGAATTCTCTTCTCCCCACTCCAGGAATGAAAACGGCACTTAGCAAACTGAAAAAGGTTCACAAAAACACCAAGAGGAAGCCTCACAAGCTAGTGTTTATGCAAGCAGGATCTGGTGAGCTTGACTCGGAGAAAAAGGTCTATTTCAATGGGAACATGAAAGCTTTCAAACAAAACAACCCAAAAGAATCTACAAGTCAAGCAAAGGGCACTAAGTGAGTCACTTAGCACCTTATTTATCCAGACGAATGTGGGAGACGTATGAATGCCATCCTTAGAATCCTGAGCAATATTAATTACTGCTTCAGTGCTTAGTTTGCATATACCAAACATTATGTCCAGTACCCTACTTAATCGTAATGGAAACAAAATAGAACCCACAGCAGTCTTGCTGGGTCGGGATCTTCACCCCCAAGTCAAGGGTGTCTCTGTGTGGCCCTGGCTGTCCGGGAACTTGCTCTGTAAGACCAGGCTGGTCTCGAACTCGGAGAGCTCTGCCTGCCTCTGCCTTCTGAGTGCTGGGGTATGCTACCACCAACCAGCACCACCATCTTCTACAGAAAAGCCAAGCAAAGCACACAGAGGCTTTCGGCTTTATTCACCAAATTCAAACCCAGATTCATGACACAAAATTGCTTGTGTTTGCATGATGAATGAATGTGGTTTCATTTATTGAGGGAATACTCAATATTCGAAACAATGAGAATGTGATGTCCTCACTTTCACTGTTATGCAGAGACTGATAATCCTCTTCTCATTTCACAGCTGAGTAAGTAGGCTCCGAGGTTAAGTTGAGAGAGTAGGAACTGTTTGTTGAAAAGGAACACTGCCTAGATGATAACCTAAAACAGTCTAAACCTCTGAGGCCCATTGGAGTCATTGTCTGCTAAGAGACCAAGTTGGTTCTGGTTGAAAGGGGGTACCACATTCAACTCTTGTGCCTGTTCTTTAGTTGCTCCTTACCGTCTGTGCCCTTAACTGACTTTAAGAAGGGCAACAGGGAGGCTGGAGACATGGCTCAGAGGTTAAGAGCACTGACTGCTGCTCTTCCAAAGGTCCTGAGTTCAATTCCCACCAACCACATGGTGGCTCACAACCATCTGTAATGGGGTCTGGTGCCCTCTTCTGGCCTGCAGGCATACACACAGACAGAATATTGTATACATAATAAATAAATAAATTTTTTTTTTAAAAAAAAAAGGAAGGGCAACAGGGATCTGCAGAGATGGTTCATTTGGGTAAGGGCACTTGTGCAAGCATTAGGAACTGAGTTCAAATCCCAGCATCATACCAAAAAAGCCAGGTATGCCTGGGCAGTGGTGGTGCATACCTTTAATCCCAGCACTCTGGGAGGCAGAAGTAGGTGGATCTCTATGAGTTCAAGGCCAGCCTGGTCTACAGAGCGAGTTCTAGGACAGGCTCCAAAGCCACAAAGGAAAACTTTGTTTGGAGAAACAAAAAATAAAACAAAACAAACAAAAAAGCCAGGTGTGGCCATGCACTCACCTATAACCAGGGAGATGGAATTGGGGGCTAGAGACAGGAGGATCTCTAGGGCTTGCAGGCTGCCAGTTTTGCTCCAGGTTCAGGTAGGATACAATTTGAAAGCCAATGTGGTCTGTGATCTACACGGTCCCAGCCTTCTCATTCTAGGATGTGGAAAGTTAGTTTATTCTATCCAAGGCACTTCTTAGAAGTTAAATGATCAAAAGCTCCTTTCACGGTTTTGAAAGAGCCAGGATTCTAATTACAAGATTTCATTCCAGGACATTTACCAAAAAGCAACCTACCAGAACAGTGAGGAGCAGAAAAATAAGAGACGCCAACCCCACCATGCGGTCTGCAGTGAGTGTCACTACCAATCAGGAGTGGGTCTGTGACAAAGTTATAGACCTTAGTCACACCGCCGAATCACCTGTCCCAAAGACCACCACTGAGAGCAACAAACAAGATTCAAAGGATTCGGTGACAGCTCACCAAGGTCCTCAGGTACCGCTGGACCCTAAGAATAGAAACAAACCTGTTCCTCTGAAGAAAGTGTTCTCAAGCCTCCACTTAGCTGGAAGTTCATCCGAGCTTGAAAACCCCTTTGCCTCCGGTTCCTGGATGGCATTTGGAGGAGGCGAAGAAGACAGTGGTAAGTCTGTAGGAATGATCTAGAAGAATTTTTCATTAAGTTATATTTGAGAGACTATATAACTTGAAAATGATTTCCATGCCCTACATCTCCTGCCACATAAAAAAAAAAATATTAGTTCTTTTCAAACTCTGGCTTCATCAGCTCCCCTGCTCCCCTAGCTGCTGGACAAGTACAGGGCAGGGCAGAGAGCAGACCTTTACAGTTTGTCTTTCATCCTGTGTTTCCCAAACCAGAGGGTATTGTTTTTCTCTTTAAGAAGTTAACGAGGCTGGGAAGATGGTTGTGGGGCAAGCTTAAGGACTTGACTTTGATTCCCGGCACCCATGTAAAAAGTCAGGTGTAATCTCAGCGCTGGGGAGGCAGAGATAAGGGGGTCCCTGAGGTTTGCTGGCCAGCCGGTGTAAGCTAAAGCACTTCCAGATTCAGTGAGGCCCTGTATTAAAAAAAAAAATAAAGAAGCTACTGGACAGCTAACCGTGGCCTCTACACTCACTGGGACATAAGCATGCATACGGGCACATGTGCCGCACACGCATATACGTGCGTGCACCAAAACCAACTCTCCTTGCCAAAAGCAGTATGGGTTCTTCAGGTGTTGTTGGGGAGACCATTTAGAGAAGAGCACCTGAATGTTCGGGGGCTTGGTCAAGGAGTCACCTGAAAGGGAGGCTGAGCTGAGTTGCCATGACACCGTGAGCACCTGCTCTACTAATCTTTCTTTTCTTTTCTCCCCTGACTAGATACATAAACCCCTGTGGAGCCTGGGCGGTTGTCATCTACCACCCCATATTAAAACTCCTAAGGCCAAGACTCAAAAAGTGTCTCCTTCATACTTGAAACTGGCAACGGAATTTACAATCAAAAAGAAAGGAAAACAATAGTCACCTCAACACCTACTTAAGAGAATGTTAATATCACCTTGTTCTCTAGAAAGAATTTTGAGTAAAGAGGTTATTGTTTTCCTTAGAAAGCATCTATATTGTCTCTTTGTTGATTTTTTTTTTCATTAAATGATCATTTTCAGTCCTCCAAAAAATTCTATTAAAGGAATATCTCTATTCCAGGATCTATTTGAAACCCTAAAATAGTGATTCTGGTTCATGGTGACGCTACTTTGCCAACTAGAAACAATCTGATCTCACAGAGAGCAGAACAGGAATTCAGAGTACTCACTAGAGTTGGGTCAGAGTCTTCCTGATAGACACAGCCCTGCCTGTACATATATAAAATTCAGCTCTCATCCCTGGCCAGTGCTGATACTTCTATATGCCTGAACCAGAAGATGTAAGCTTGAACCCATCGATATCTTTCATGTTCTCCATCAGTGCTTCGTCTCTAAGTACCTAACGGGGTTCATACACCAAATGCGCATTGTTTCGTCGCAACAGTACTTGGCTGTTGTCTCACCGAGTCCAATTAATTCCTTTAAATACTGTGTGTTTACAGCTTTTTCCGCCTTGCTTCCCAGGCCTGTCCTTCAGTATACACTGGGGCCTGGGACCTATCAACAATATGTGTTTGTCTCTTCTAGGCACTTGCAACAAGTGAAGACAAGAGCAGGGCTATTCAGTTCTGGTGACAGGCACATGGACATACAACATGTGTATTCACACATGTATGCAGAGGCATTTCAATTGTATTTTAATAAATAAAGACTGCCTGAATATCTGAGAATAAAACAGCCACACTGGCCTTACAGACCAGCCAGCAATGACATACACCTTTAATCCCAGTAGCCACACTAGTTGCCATAGAAATTGGGGGGTGCATGCCTTTAATTCCAGAACTAGAGAGGATTATAAGACAGGGGGAGACAGCTCTCAGACATAGTCTCCTTCTGAGATTCCAGGTTGCAGGATCATCATTTCAGACTGAGGTCGAGGTAAGAGCCAGTGGCTGGCCGTTTTGCTTTTTGGATCTTAAGGTTGAACCCCGGTTTTTATTAATCGTGCTTCATGTATATGTACACACAAAGGTGATGTAATTTCACATTCCTTGTCCTAACACCGAGTTTGGGTGTTTAGTCACAAATTGTTTAAAACAGGTTCCTTTGGCCACCAATCTTGAATTCTCAAAAGGAAATAATTGTATTATCTGATGCTTGGGCCTTTGCTCCATTTGTTCTGTGTTAGGGCAGGGTGCCTTAGGTTTCAAATCTAGTTTTAGATACTTGTTCTTAAATGTAGACAGCAAAAGGCAATCATCCTGAAAGATGAGCTTTTGATATGTTTCTATACAAATGCCGTGTGCTGCAATACATTTTGTAAGTATGTGCTATATGAAATAAATGTCCTGGATAAAACCAGCTTTGTTTTCGTTATAGTAATAAAACCACACTGGTGGTGGTATAGAGGTGATACCAAATGTCAAGCAAGCTATGAATACAGGCCACTGGCAAGTCTAACCAACAATCAAATCTCCATCTTTCCTAGTCATCTGCTTGGTGATTTAGCAGAGTTCCAGGTTTGGAACAGGAAAATGAAACTTCAAACTCTGATCTTTTTGTTTGTTTTGGTGTTTTTGAGACAGGGTTTCTCTGTGTAGACTCAAATTTCCTGGAACTAGCTCTGTAGCCTAGGCTGGCCTCGAACTCACGGAGATCTACCTGCCTCTGCCTCCTGAGTGCTGGGATTAAAGGTGTGCGCCACCATCGCCCAGCAGAGCTCTGGTCTTCTTTTTTCTTCCTGTGTGAGCTGTTATAGCTGAGGCACACCGGTAAAGTGGGTTTTTTTGCTGTTATTTTTTTTTACTGCAGTAAATAATGTAATAAACATGTATCAATTATATTTTGTTTGTTTATTTATTTATTTAGAGTCTGGATCTTGCTGTGTTGCCCAGTCTGGTCATGAGCTTATGAATTCAAGCTGCCTTCTGGCTCAGCCTCCCATGTAGCTGCAGCTACGAGTCACTTCACTGAGTTAGAGACCACCACTTAACCCAAGTATGTATTCACAAGGTCGTGAATTCCCATTCCCTACACCCCTGGCCCTTTTAACCCTTAGATTTAGTATTTTCCTCTGATGAAAACATTTTTACAACGGTTATGGGGAAAACATATGTATGGCCATGTGTGTACACATGAGTGTGGACATGTGAGTGTGGGGGTTTGCACACATATGTGTATCTACATGTGGAAGCCAGTGGTCAGTTTCCCGGGCCATTCCTCAGGAGCCTTTCCCTTTAGGTTTTGAGATAGGGTCTCTCATTGAGACCCGACAGGCTTACTCATTAGGCTAGCGCACCAAGCTCCAGGGATGTGCTGTCTCCACCTCCCTGGCACAGAAATTACAAGGATGAGTCTAGTCACATCCCAAGGTTTTAGGTGGGAGCCGGGGATCAAATTCAGGTCTTACACTTAAGAGACAAACACTTTACCAAGTGAGATATCTCCCCATCTTGTAACTCCCCCCCCTTATCTTCTTTATAGATCTGAGGCAGTTTTTATACTCATGTACACATTTCTTCATGGCATTATTGGGACTGCCTATGTCCCGATATGCCTGCGTAATTTTTTGGCTTCCACCGTCATCACCATCATCATCGTGAGTGTGGGAACAGGCATGCTATAGTGTGTTCATCGAGGTCAGAGAACAACCTTTGGGAGTCAGTTCTCTCCTTTCACCTTTACATGCGATCCAAGAACCAAACTCAGATTATCAGGCTCTCATACCAAGCGCTTTAGCCAACGGAACATCTTACTGGACCAAGGTTCTACCTTTTTGTTTTGTTTTGAGAAACAGTTTCTCTATGTAGCCCTCTGGAGACCAGGCTGGCCTCAGATTCACAGAGATCCACCTACATCTACCTCCCAAATGAGGGGATTAAAGGCGTGCACCGCCACCACCTGGCTCCAAGGTCCCAATGCTAAAATCTGGTTTGTGCAGGTGTTGTAGCACAATGCCTGTAATTCTAGCACTCTAGGACACTCAAGCTGGAAGATGGCAATTTCCACTGAACTAATCAATCAGTTAATTCAATCTGTCCATCATGCTTTAACCTCACTAAGTTTTGCTTTTAATGAAGCTAGGCCCATATTTATTCCCTAGTGTTTGTCATCTGGTGTTGATAAAGCAGCGGCAGCCATTCCCTGCTTCTCATTCTAGAGCTTTTTTTACATTTCTTTCTTTCCTGTGGCTGGGGTGGGGGGTCTCACAGCAGGCATGTGGAGGTAGATCAGAGGACAAATCATAGGACTGAGTGCTTCCACCCTGTGGGGTCTGGGAATCCAAGTCAGGCCATCTGGTTTGGTAGCAAAAGCCTTTAGCCACCTGAGCTATCTTTTGGCAACATTCTAGCATTTTCTATGTATATTTGACTCAGCATAATCTAGACATATCTCTTTCCTGTCAGCACCAGGTCATATCAATCCATCTGATTGAACCAGTGTTCCATTCACAGCTCCAAGGTGACAGACTTCCAAAGATCACTCTCTGGGTTAGCCTCTTCACAGTCCTTCCTACTATTATGTCTTGTCCCCTAAGGGACACAGATTCTCGGCCACATCCAACAGATTCTTCAGGGCAGCACACTTCCTGTGCCCTTGTTACCATGGCCACATCATGCAGAATGATTCTTTGAACACATGAGTACTGTAAGGAATCCTACAAAGGACTCCAAAGACTGAACCCCAGCTGAGGCAGCTGCCAGTTTGCAATGTGTGGCCCCACGTTGCCTCCCCTCTGAACGTTTTTCCTTATCAATCAGGTGAAGGGATTGTTACTGCAATCCATGGGCATTTTCATTCCCAAAAGCCACATACTCTATGGACTCTGTGGCCAAAGCTAGGGGATTGAGACACAAGCTTAGCTAGTAGCAAAGGTCAAGTGCTGTGTGTGTGTCACTTTCAGTGACTTCCCTAATTAGCCAAAGCAGTAGCCAGGTCCCCCTTCCCAGCATTCTTGTTTCCTCATGGGTCCTAGCCACTCCTGGCCTTCCAACTCCCCCGGCTGCAGTGCAGCCACTGAAGTCTGGGACCCGCGTAGGAAGTGCCAGGCTCTAGGGAGGCAGCCCCTGCAGTCCTCACAGCATCTGAGGCACGTGTGGATGTTTCTACCTACAAAGACATGGTAATACGTAGACGCTGACGTTCAGTTCAGTCGCCCACCTAGAAAGCAGTGGCGCCAGTGTCCAAATCCAAGTCCGGCTGACTTGGATCCACCCCCCACCACGGTTCATGAGTGGTATAGGGTGACTTGTAAGTAGGGTCGAGCACTATCAGTGTTCAGGACAGAACCCTTGCTAACACTGATTGTGTATTTACGTGGTACCCGTTACCGCCCTAAGCTCTCCTGTGATCCTATCACATGCAAACAATTTTGAAATGAGCCATTCTATCTCATTTTAAGAAACAAGTTTAGTGAGTTGTTGATTGTCCAAGATTTGAACCCAGGCAACCTGGCTTCAGGTTATCTATCACCCTGTTAGCAATAGGTTACTGTGTTCTGATCCAGGGGCCTGTCTGCGGACAGTGTAGAAACTAGATATGTAACCCCATTTCTCCTGAGCCCTGTCATGCAATAAACAGGTGTCTTCTAAAGTCGTGGATATCCTGATCAGTTTCCTCATTGATATGCCACTTCTGTGCCATGCACTGTCCTGACACACTAGTAGTATGCCCAGACCGGCCTCTCCCATGAGCTATGTAGCTTCATCTCTCTGAACTTGTATTTTTCTCACCTGGAAAATGGGCCCAGCGCTGGTTGAGGCGAATGAAGGACATGTTTGCTTCTGAAGATCAGTGTTAAGGGCAAACAGCACAGAGGCAGATGCCCAGTAGGCCTGTTCCTTGGGTGAGGAAGGCAGGTTTTTTTTTTTGGGGGGGGGGTGACTATTGTTATAGACTATGGAGTGAGTGGGAGAAATGGTTCCGGGCATTTTAGGCAATGCAGCTTTTCATTAGTGTAAAGTGTAACTCAGGGGAGCAGCTAAGGTTTTCCCGGTCAAGGCTTGGTGGAGCCGAGGCCATGGGAGAGCAGCTCAAGTGCCAGAAGCCGAGTTCAGTGCAGAATGGGAAGTAAAGGTAGGAAGGGACTGAGAACGATTAGAGAGGCCTTGGACTGGAGGCCACATAACTCCTGCTGGGGAGAGACTCTGGAATTCTGGGAAGGGAAGGAATGCTGGGCAGAACAGCAAGACAAGAAGAGCTCACAGAGGTGGATGGTGGCGGCATGGAGCAAAGGCAGGACCTTAGAAACCTAGATAGGTTCTCTTCAGTGGTTTCAGGGTGTGGCCACAGGCAATCTCTCTAAAAAGGAGCATACCCAAAGGGGACATTCACATTCTTTTTTTTTTTTAATATTTTATTTATTTATTATATATACAATATTCTGTGTGTATGTCTGCAGGCCAGAAGAGGGAGCCAGATCTCATTTTTAGATGGTTGTGAGCCACCATGTGGTTGGTGGGAATTGAACTCAGGACCTTTGGAAGAGCAGGCAATGCTCTTAACCACTGAGCCATCTCTCCAGCCCCCACATTCACATTCTTGATGATCATAAGAGGCCTGGGTTCAATCTACAGCAAAATGGAAAAAAGGCTTGAGGTCAATTCTGACAGGCCTCAAACCTTCTCAGATGGCAAATGCTTCAGCTGATGAAGACCACTCTGACCCTAGTATCTCTCAAAATTCTGATACCCACAAAATAGAACCATTTTTTATTTTGCCAGGGGGCTTGTGAAGGCCTAACTGCTACCCCTCCAATCTGCGGTTAGCAGACACGTAGCGTTAGAACATCCTATGGGAGGAAGGACTGGGCACAGGAAGTGAGCACAGCCGGCACCCATTGCCACTACCATTGCTGGGGCCTCTTTTTTTAAAAAAAAATTATTATTTATATAATCTGTGTGTATGCCGAAGGCCAGAAGAGGGCACCAGACCTCATTACAGATGGTTGTGAGCCACCATGTGGTTGCTGGGAATTGAACTCAGGACCTTTGGAAGAGCAGGCAATGCTCTTAGCCTCTGAGCCATCTCTCCAGCCCCCGCTTGGGGTCTCTTAAAATAACCTCTAGGGTAGGCAAAGGGTGGATGGGTAAGAATATGAGCTTCAGGAGTTCCAACTCCACAGAGGCTCAGTATACCAGGCCAGCCTCTCCCTCTGCTCTCCCAGCTCTCAAAAGGAGACAATGGCCCAAAGCACTAGGGGGTGCAGGTAGGAAGGGCGGATGGGAAAGACACAATGGCGCATGGATCCCAGGCTCTAGAGGGCCGAAGGGAAAGGAATGAAGGAATGAGGGGAAAGCATGATTCCTTCTGAAATGGCCTCATCTAGGAGTCCCTTCCTGCCTGTGCTACCCTGCCCATGCAAGCATCATTGGTTCTTGGCTTTTGTGAAATGCAGAAATCTGGGAAACACTTTGAGGCTGTTTTTTTGTTTTTTTTTTTTTTTTTAAAAAAAAAAAGAAAAAAAACTGGACCGCGGTGGTGCTACACGTTTGTACACTGCACTGAACTAAGTATATCCTTGACGCCAGGAACAAGGTCCCCGAGTTTCTGAGGCAGCAGCATATTACACACGCGTGCTTCCCTTGGGCAGAATAATAAAAAGACAGGAGACGTATTCTTTCTATGCTGCTTTTATTTTTGTAAGGATACACTGAAACGTTAGATGGAAACAGCTAATGACAGTGTGGAAGTGAGCTGGCGGCATCTACAACCACTGCTACAGTAATATACGAATATGTATTTTCATTACATGTTTACCTTGATATCGTCTCTTTATATATGTAATATAATGGAGAATACAGTAAAGTAGGTATCCTGTGTTTCAGAGAAGCAGGAGGTGGA